TAACCATTTTATATGTACGATATACCTACACATATATGTACTTGTATGTACAGAAAATGTTTCTTTTTTCTTTTGGTTAAACAATAAATAAAATGCAACTCCATCCAAAATGCTAATTGCCAATGGGTCAGAGACTTGCACTGGACTGGGTGCTGGCTGGCACTTGCATGTCAACATTTTCCAACAGCAAGCCGTGCAGTGCAGCTCCCCCCCCAATAGTTGCTGTTGTTTTAGCTTTGGCCATTAGCTGAAAACTCAGTCACACAATGTGTCACGCAGCGCCCAAAAAGCAATACACACACACACCGCACACCTGCACACCTGCACACCTTCTGCTAACACGCATACGCAATGGTGTGGCAAATCAGGGAAAATGTACTGGCGGTGCAGCGAAGGCAAGAGGCAGGGGCAACACAAAATCACAGCTCTATGGGCTTTAAGGTTTTTAGCTTTTACTTTCTTTTCAATTTTGGTTGCCCAATGTTTTTCCCATTTTCATACACCTGCTGCAAAATGCGGCACGTGTGAGTTTGATTTAAAGTTTGCCAGAGAAGTATTTAAGGCAACCAAAATATAAATAGAAATCAAGATAAAAACAATGGGAAGAAGGTCAAAATATGTATATTGATGTATGGCTAATTATGGAGAAAGTTTCATGCATCAAAATATTATTTTTTTTTATATTTATTTATATTATTATAATTCCAATGAAAAAATAACCCATAAGATTCATGTTGAAGCTTATCATCGTTTATGTTATTAGTTTATTTGTATGCCTGCTTTACTGCTAAGCCACTCTGTGAGGCGAAAGAGACAAAGTATCTCTCAAGTGTTCTAGATAGTTGCGCAAGTCGCTCTCTGCCTGCATGGATTACGAATATTTCTACTTGCTAGCAGTACCCCTGGCTCTTTTCTTATTGTTGCCATTCAGTCGCTCGCCGGGTGTTATGCATTATAATTGTACAACAACAGGCGGCGGCTGTCAGATAAAAGGCAATAGCCAAGCCAGCAGCCACACAGCGAAATAATAAAATAAAGCAACAAGAAACAAGAAAAACGCAGGCGAAGAAACAGAAGAAGAAAACAAAAAGTTGAACAGCGCAAACTGAGAAATGCGCAATAATTGATGCACGCAAAATGCGATTTGGCCGCCCCTGCCCACCGCAAGCAAATAAGTGGGCGCCACGTGGGTGCAAGACGCACTGGGAGGGATGGGTGTGAGCGTTGCATATAATTGCGTTATAGTTTGTAGTTGTTGCAGTGCCACAGCGATAACACACACGAAAGCGCACAACAATTACAAGGGAAAGAGTTTGTTCGTTGTTTTTGTTTTTGGTTTTTGGCTTTAGGGTGACCCTGCCCCACACGAGGCATTGCATGCGCAAGCTCTCACTGCGTCTCTCTTGATTTGGGATTTGCATTTGTTGCATTCTCTTAAGTTCTTTTGTTGTCTGCTCGCCTATTAATCACTTCCGCCAAAAGCAGTCCCGCACTCGCCCTATCTCTCTCCCAGCGTGGCTTAGCAGCAGTCAAGGGTAAAGCGTGGCACCTCCAACCCCTAATCAGCCAACTTTTGTACGCATTTCAAATTGATTGAACTTTGACGGGGCGAAATGCTTTCAATTAGCAGCAAATCAATCAAGTGGTGACCCTGAAAACGTGTGAGCTCTGGCAGAATTGTATGAAGATATGCCATGGAAGAGTAAAATGACTTCAACGTACTTTTGCTAAGCCACTCTGAGAGAGAGAGAGAGAGAGAGAGACAGCGCTGAATGGTCTACAGAAATACGATCACAAGCGAGTGCTCAACCAGAGCTCTATTTATCGCTTGGCCTGTGGTGCCATAATCTCTTGCATGTACGTACGTACGTACGACCCAGCTGATGATTGGGGCGCCACATGCGTTGCAAATTGCACGTTGCAACGTCGTGAGCATTTCAGTATTTCTTTGCTCAGCTGAGCACGCATTTTCGATAAAAAAAATGTACAGAAAATATAGCAGGAATTACATAAAAAAAAAGAACAACAGCAAAAACAACCCATGAATGCATGAACGGAGAGAGAGCGTATTAAAAGTTTAGCACGCAAACACGCGGTGGCGTATGCGTAATAAACACACACACACACACACACACAGAGAAAAACTAGAGCAAAAAATTAGCATCTCTTAAGCAGACCAATTCGATGGGCAACAATTGAGATGTTTTCAGTGTATGATTTTCCAGAGAACTTTCAAAATAGTTCCCAACCCAATTCCGGGCCATTCTAGCGACAATCAACTACCAAATGCAACTTTATTTGCCCCTTAAAATTCTATAGAATTTCTACTGCTACTTCTAGCGCTGCTTTTTTGTTTTGTTTTCTGTTGCTTGGTTTGGGCCAAGTCATGATAGCGGTTCCATGCCACAGAATTGAGCGTGCGAAACTAGAAACTGGCCGAAACGAACGATGCAAGCGGCAGTGCTGCTGCAGGCCACCAAGTGCTACCAGTATTGAGTTTCATCTCAAAAACACTTCAACTCCAGACAGATATCTGGCTGTCAACGCTGCAGGGAAAGACAGAGAGTCTGAGTTGCTCGCCCGGGAGTCTCTGAGAAGCAGGAAAAACCGAATTGAGGTAAAGTAAAATTGATTTGTCACGTTGCCGCATAAATTGCACATAATTATGTAAGCTGTGTAACTGTGTTTTTTTTTCTTGTGTTGTTGCATCGTCGTTGCATTTCACTTTGCCAACTGGCACTTCTCTCTCTCTCTCTCTCTTCTTTCTTCACATTCAATCAATAGAAATAGCCTTTGCCTTTGCCTTTGCCTTTGTTTCTCTTTCTCTGTACTATTTGTGTGTTGTTTTATGCCATTTCATTGAATTAGGCCTTCATTTTTGTCATACGGGGTGCCAAGTGTTTCCATTAATTACCCTGGGAACTGGGAGATGGATGGAGATATCCAAACCAGATATAGCACCCAACAACAGTTAATAGAAGTAACGGTTTCTTCTTGGCAGCGAGTCATTCAGCTGAGCTACGCTGGAAGAGAGCAACAGCTGGAAGCTGGCCCGTGAGTCTCTATTGAAAATTCATTTAGAATGTTCTTTTGTTCTTCTAAGACTTCAACTTTTGTTTAAGTGTTTTTCGTTTCTATTACTTGAATTTATTACACACAAAACTTTTAGAATTTTGCCAAAAACAATAATAATTGCCAAACAACTGATAATATTAATCCTAGCCTGGATTATGTTCGGGCTGCGCCGGAAGGGTATCTCGTAGGCCTCTCGGATGCGGAGCCCATTGTCGTGGGCCTTCGCCTTGTCGGTCAGCTGTTGCCTGAACCAATTAAAATAGGCAAAATATGCGCCGAAAAGGCAACGACATATACAGCCCTTCTGGCGTCCAATGTTGCCCATCAACCAAATGCGATGGGTTTGCCTCTCGATTAGCCCGATACACCGGACCGCAGTGGCGGCGAGCAGCATCCTTGACAGCCGTCACGTACTCCGGCAAGAGTAGCAGATCCGCTAGCAAAGCTACAAAAATATATTCACATGGTATGGCCTCATGCCCAAATAGAGATGATGCCAGCCAAAGAGGCCACCAAATAGCCAGCGAATGTAAAGATCTCTGATTCCTCATTGTCAATCGTCAGTTCCTCCCATTCCTTAACCGGCGGCTGTTTCTTATTGGTTGTATTCGTGTTTGAAGCGCCAGTAGGAAGCCATCCTGTAGACATCGTGTCATAAATGCAGCGTTTTTTGGTTTTAAATTTGTACCTTTTGTGGGAGAAGTTTTGTTCTGTTTACGAACAGATATTGAAAGTGAGCTAAGCCACTCTGGCATAGAGAGATACTCCACGCAAAATACGAGCACAAACGAGTGCGTCGCGTCCTGCGTTGCATTTTGCACACCCCGGAACAAACTAGACGCCGTTTGATCCAAATTACTACATCAGAAAACCTTTCATTTTTTTTTTAGTAAACCCACAAAGTCCATTAAAAAAAAAAGAATGCTAAAATTATTTGCACAATTTTTGTTTGTTTGTTTGTTTGGCTTTTTTTTCGTTTGGTGATTTGTGATTTTTGAAGGCCAAGGTCGCCGCACTGCATATGGGATCATAATGAGCAGAGAAGACCAAAGAGAGAGAAGCCAAAAGCAGTTGCTGTTGTTTTTGGGTTGGGTTTTCGGCGCTGATCGAAGCGGAAGTAAAGCGACGTCGGTCTGCCCCTCAACAATGGGGTAAGTGAATGCTAAAAAAAAGCAACAAAAAAAGATCGTACCAAACAAAATAAACCACAGAAACACACAACAACAAAAAAAACAGAGATCTGTGTGTGTGTGTGTGTGTGTTTGCTGTCAAACACTTGTGTGTGTTTGTGTGTACCCAAACATGGCGCGCTGTCTGTCTGTCTGAAGGTTTCTGTAGGTTTTTTTTTGCAGTTTTTTCAATTGAAATTTTTTTTTTTCACATTTGCGAAATTGTTTTAATTAGCCCAAAAACCTCTCCGTGCGCCGCTTTGTACGCTCTCTATGCGTTAATTGCAGTTTCCAAAATTAGCTAAAACGAAGAAAAAACAGCAAATACAGTCACATGGCCGTCATCGTCATCAGTCTGTCATGGCTGTCAAAGCACTCGTCGTTGTTGCTGGTTTTCTGTTGTTGTACGTTTCTTTTCTTTGATTGACAGCTGGTGGTGCCCGGCTACCCTTACCCCACAAAAGAGTAATCGTTTTGGTCCCGCCCCTGTGTGCCGCCGTGCCGTGCCGTGCCGCCCCGTGTGCGGCATTCCTTCTAATGCTTTTGTTCATGAACGGGCCAAGTAGTACACCATATGTACAGTCATTAGAGAGCAGAGGATCAAGCTGGCTTCCTACTTAAGTACATACATCCCCCTTTAGTTCCATTTCAATGGCAGTCAATGGCCACACAGTGCTCGGCCATTGATTCCATTATTATTTATTAATATTTTGCTGCTTTATAATTATTTCCGTTAAATCTGTTGACAAAACTTACCTTAAACTAAAACACTCGCCAGTCGGGCGTTACCCGTCCAGCAATCCATAAGTTTCAATTTTTGCAATTGATTTTTGTCCTGGGGGCCGTCGTCTACGTCGCTTGTTTTTTGTTTATTATTTTTTATTTGTTGTTTTTTGATGTTGCAGTTGTTTTTACTTTTTACTTTTTCCCTTTTCCTTTTACTTTTCTTTCTCAGCTTGTTCTTGTTTTGTTTTTCTTTTTGTTTGTTGTTGCTTGTAGTTGTTGTCGCTGCTGCAGTTGTTGTTTTTGTTTTTGTTTTTGTTGTTGTTGCTTTTTTGTTTGGCTCAAACTTTAAATTTTTATTTCGAAATTGTTGCACACCGAAATATTGTTAATGTTAATGGGGCTGGTTTTACAACACTGTTTTGAGACCGAAATAGAAATCGTTCCGAAAGAGAGACAGAGAGCGCGAAAGAGAGACAGAGACAGAGACAGAGACTAAGAGTTAATGAGAATGTTTCTTTCCTTCCTTTTGTGTTTCCTTCTTTTCCTTTTTCCTTTTTCTCTTTTATTTTTGTTTAGTTTCTTTCACAGAGTAGCCCCAAAAACAGATGAAAATAGTTTTTATTTTATTTATTTGAAGAGTTGTTGCTGCTGCTGCTGCTGCTGCTGCTGTTCCATAAACATTTAATTGGTCCTTGGTTTGTTGCTGCTTTTTACCTCAAGTCGAGCCGTGACTGTACCAACTCCTTTTCGTGTGTGTGTGTGTGTGTGTGTGTGTGTGGTAGGGAGACGGTGCGTATGCGTATGCGTGTGTGTGTGAGAGTAGGGGGGGGCTTTAGAGAGTGTTTTCGCTTTTGTTTTTATTCCTTTCTTGTATTTATTTATTTTTTAGCCAGAGAGCACTGCCAGAGTTGTAGCGTGTTGAGTGGATTCTTCTAGAGTTGCCTTTCGATTTGTTGCCGAGATTTTGTTTGCTTTGTGAAATTTGCATTTAGATTTTTGGTTTCCTTTTTTGTTTGTTTTCTCTTTGAGTTTTACACGCTTTCTTCTTCGTTGAAATTTGGAATTTTGAAGAATATGCTGCAAGTAGAAGAGAGAGAGAGAGAGATGAATACAATTTTGAGATTATTAATGTGCGAAATTTGTGTCTATATTTCTTTTATATTTAGTTGAAATAAGCTCCAATAGTTGTTGCCCAACGTAAATATATTTTTACTATAAAGAACCGCATCAACCGATCAAATCCTTAAAACTATTTCTTAGATCGAAGAAAATCTTCATAAAATTCTGGTTAATAATTATCCTCTGCCAAACTCTTTATGTGTTTTTAAAGAAAGCCTTGGAGGGCCTTTATTAATTACATGCACAAATCTTGTTTCATTTTGCTTAAATGTAGGCTATGGCAAATGTCACAAAGTGAGTGCAAATACGACAGAGAGCGCCAGAGAGAGAGATGGCAAAGAACTTTCACTATTTTAATTACCCGAAATAAATGTTGTTCTTGTTGTGAGGGGGAAGGAGGCTCAGGGGGAACTCTGCTCTGTTGTTTGGTGGAGGTCCTTCTCTAAGGACAAGAGTCAGTGGCAGTGGCAGTGGCAGTGGCAAGTGGTGGGAAGAGGCAAAAGCTGAATGGCAATGCCACACACAGTTGCTCGTTCGTTGTTGTTGCCTTAAAAAGTCTGTAAACTGTCTGCGTTGTTGCCTCAAGTGCCACACACACACACACAAATAGAGGGAGAAAGAGAGAGAGAGAGAGAGAATGTTTCGGTGAAATTAACACAAGAGAAAGCCATATGTGTGTGTGTGTGTTAGATGGCAAAAGTTTTGACTGCTGCTGCAACATGTGGCATGACGCTTAATTATGACGTTGAAAAACACACACACACACACACAGAAGTCAAAGCAGCGTAACAAAAGTCAAGTCAACTTTTGAATTATGACGACTTTTTGGGCTACTTGTTCTCCATCGAATGGCTGCTACCTCGTAGCTTTTCCAGGGCGTCTTTCATTTGATTCGATTTGTGGCAGTTTTTTGTTTTAAATATATTTTATACTTTTTTTTTATATATATTTAATTAATTTATAAAGAAAACATTCATCGTTCAGGAAAAATGTAGAAATGTATTCTAGATTAGTTTTTGGATTCTTCCTGGTTTTCAGCAACAATTTTTGGATGAATAAAATCATCGTCTGCCTGTCTATTCGTCTGTCCTGTCCTGTCCTGTCCTTGGCATTCCGTTTTACACTTTTGCATATTTTAATCAGCCGCAAGAATAAGATGAAAATGATGATGATGCTGATGCTGTGAGGGGGAAGAAGATTCAGAGTCAAAGTCACTGAAAGCGACAGACACAGCCTGCTGAAAACGTGCGTCAGTCAGCCTCTCTCTCTCTTGCTCTCTGTTTGGCATTGAAAAAGTTTCTTTCTCCTTTCTTTTTTAGCTTTTCTGTGGGTTCTGCAGCAGCTATAAGTAGGTTGCTCTGCCTGTCTGATTATCCGCTCAAGGAAAAGTTCAAGTTCAAAGCCTTTTGGCCGGAACAAAAAGAAAAGAAAAACGAAGCAGAAAATAATACACGGAAAAGATTTGCGCATCGGCTTCCGCTTTCCCGCATTATTGTGTGTGTGTGTGTGTGTGTGTGTAAAGGATGGAGAAAGGATTTAATAGGTGTTTACAGCGATAATTAATTAGAGCAAAATCAGATGCAAGGAAAACAAGGCGCTGCCTCATTTTAATTGGATCATAATAAGAAGCTGAAGGTGAAGATTTTTGAACCGACTGAGGGCTGCTGCTGCATGACACGTGCAAAGCAGAAAGGATCTACTCATTTGGGACTTTAATTACCCAAGACAATCGAATGGCAGAGCTAATGCCATGATAAGCTCCAGTTAGCCGGGCAACAACAACAACAAAACAGACAGAAAAATTCTCAAAAGAAGGCGCAAGACAGCCAGAGGTGAGACAGGGCAGGGTCTGGGGCGAACAACATTAGACAGTAGTCAGACAGAGTGACAGACAAACAGACAGACATAGACATGGAGAAGAGAGTGAGTAAGAGAGAGAGAGAGACAGTTAAAGCAATGCCCAGACATTCAGACAATCGGACAGGGAGTCAGACAAGAGTCAGACAGCGAGACGCAAAAGCAATTCTATGCCTAGGCAAGCAGAGACTTTTATGCGCCATGTACATAAATGTATATATTATGTATACATACATACATATGCGTGTGTTTGTGTGTGTGATTCAGACAGAGGACAGACAGAGAGACAGGCTGCTTAAAATGTCTGCACACAGCTGTTTGCCTGGTTGTCTGGTTGGGTGTGTCAGTGTGTTGCATCAACAGGCCAACAGTTGCAACTGCAGACAGGGCTAAAGACATGGCTACCCCCCCCCCCCCCCCCACACACACACACACACACCCAATCGACACACATTTATTAACCCTTGTGTGTGTGTCGTCATTGTTTTTAAGCACTTCAAGAACTATTCCTCGCAAAGAATAAAATTATTTGGCAACATTTTATGAACTTCTAAGAAATGATCTAAGCGAAAACTTCAATTCATGTCAAATAAATTATAAATAAATATATTTAAAGCTCTAAAAATAAGTAATTAATTAATAAAGCAACTTCCTTAAACATTCAAATATCTCTGAAATATTCTTTGAAATTACTGGCTGAAAAAAAAAGAGAAGGAAACTCTTCGCCGTTTTTGGCACACGAATGTCCTGCCAGGGGTTAATCCACTGGGGCCTCAGGACGACCAAGAGGAGGGAGAAACACACAAAAATAAAACACAAAAACAAAACAAAGCAAAATAATGGGCAAAAAAAAGAAAGACGAAGAAGCAGAGGACAGGGAAGGAACAAGGAAAAACCCCTCAAAACAGTCGCAAGTTGCATATTCCGTTGCAGGTGAAAACACACTACGGGGCTGAATGCAACAAGGGGAATGAGGAATGAGGAATGAGGAATGAGGAATGAGGCGCAAGGAATTTGAATGGAGAACGGTACCAGCAAAGAGCTGAAGGAGACATAAAATGTTGTTGTCTCTTGTTTTTTGCGTCTTGCGTTTTTTAATTTCGTTTTCTTTTGTGCACATTTTCCATTTATTTTATCTGTTTCGCCTGTCTTCCCCTCTCTCTCTCTCTCTCTGGCCCGCCCATCAATTGTGGTCTCTTGGTGTCGTCCCGTGGAGTCGAGTGCACTTTGCCTAGTAATTGTATGATAAGGACAACTACTGCGGAAAACACGGGCAAGGACGACAGAATGCACTCTATACAGTTGTTGCCATGCGTGACACACAGAGAGGACACGTTGACAATAAATTTATGCAATAACAATAATCGAAATGAAGAAGAAACCCAAAGAACATGCCAAGAAAAGGCACTTTCAATGGATACTCTGCCCAAGATGTAGCTTAGACATTGCCATGGGCAAATATCGCCAGAAATTCAACGTTAACTTGATGGTCAAATTACAACTCTGTAATGTTATCGATTTTGATTTCACTTCATGAGAATACAATTCGAACCCAATTTATAGAGTATTCAAGAACGCGGCCCTCCTGCTTCGGTTGTGCTCTCCTGTTTCCACCATGCCTCCTATTCCTATGACAATGTTTTATTAGAACTTGAGGAATGTTTACTGCGACTCTTTTCTTTACTGCCGCTGCCGGGGCGACAAAATTCGTTTGAATTTATGAAATTTTAGACGGCAATCGACTGGCAGGCAGGCAGGCAGGCAGGCAGGCAGGGCCCAAGTCATTGGATATAAACGGACAAATGTCACGGCATCTCTACATTTTTTGAGAGTGTTTGTAAATGCGAACATGAACGGGGAAGAAGGCGGCACAAATTAAAGATGCCACAAAGCGCAGAAAAAGGTTCCGAACGAGAAACTAGGAACAAAAATTGGAGTACAAATTGCTGGATGCAATTGGGATTAAGAAAGGGCTTAGCGTGGGGGGTAGTGGAGTTTAGGATTTATCTCAACTCAATTTGAGCCTTGGGCCGTCTGTCCGTCATCTAATCATTTGCCTTTCACGCTTCTGTCAACGGAAAAGCCAAAACCAAACCCATTTTACATGCTCAATTTGACAAACTGATGGACTGACTGCCTGATTGACTGACACTCGTACTCGTCTCGCCCCTCCACACACAAACATAATTATAAAGTTTCTTTTCTTGAGCG